GAGCAGGCTGCTAGCCAATCGGTAGACATTAATCTACGTCAATGTCTAGGTCACTAATATTGGCCGTGAGGAAATATGAACAAGGCTGATTCAACAACCAATCGCAGCAGACCTAACGTGGGTAAACGCGATTCGCAGATATATGGCTTAACTTTCCGAGAAACCAGTCACCTTGAGCAAGAAACAGCCAATCAGAAGACTGTGTTTGTCTGTTTGAATAAGCTATAATAATGCACATGAAATGTATATAAATAAGTGCTGATTTCCGTAATAAAGCAATCTGCTGCCTGGTCCTTGTCTTCTGCTGTTACACCAGCAGACAACTTAACGTCAACTTCCCCAATGTCAATGTAGTTGAAGATTGAACGATCAATTCATGGTTGTTTGCTCAAACCCAACTTCCCTATATTTTCGCGGAGACATCGATACACCAGTCATCGTCTCATCGGTCGCTGTTCAGAAAGAAGTCAGGACAATACCGTCAGAAGTAATATTGTGATTTATTATTGTAATATTTGTTCATAGACCTTAGTTGTGAATCTTAGTTAAAGCTTAATTTCGAAGTTGGCTATATGTTGGTGTTACAATAAAGAATTCTCGAGTGGCCAATCGGTGTTTTGGTTTTGCGTCCGTTATTACTAGGAGTTTCTGAGAAACTCCAAGGAACAGCGTGAGTCCTAGCGTAGCAAGAGCTGGGCATTGACGGTTTACGAGACGTGGCTGACACTTACAGCACGCTGAGGTTGTGAGACTCGCTGTCAGCTGCCTACATAGCAATGCGGGAGGACTGAGAAGTAAAGTAGGCGAACTCAGAAATCTCCAGTCATACCTACCTACGCCTTAAAACAGTCCTTCTCACCGAAAACTGGTTAACCCCACTATCGCTGACAACGAAATCAGTGTAGGTGATATGACTCCTGTCAGGAGAGACAGGAATAATAAGGAAGGGAGGATTCGCCACATACTTTGACAGGCAACTTAAATGTGTACAGCGGACCCACCACTTATTGAACTCCCAGACTCGATATGATTTTATTTAACCGTAGGCTACGCCATGCATTTACTGGGTGCCATCTACCGATCACCCACCTGTGGGGAATAGCCCGACCAACTACTGCTCAGAGCCATCACAGGAATACGGGACTTGGGCTAAGACCAAACCACCATGGCTGGAGATTTGAATACCCCATCACTGAACTTTGGCTCTGGGTATGCTAAGGGAAAATTCGGCCGAAATCTACTGCAAACCGCTAGAAATGGAGAACTAATTGAGAATGCTAGAGACGACACTGGGTAAGGCTTTAGTGAAAAGTCATCAAAACTAGACTACATTCTAACTAGTGACCAACTACCCGTCGAAAAAGTGTAGATCACGGCTCCTCTAGGAAGAAGTGACCATGAAGTCGAAGGTTTCGATCTTGTTCTCCGTGAGCACCTGGAGTGGAACGTTACGCGACCATGTCTGTGCAATTGCAATGCGGATAATCCTGAAATGCAGGGACTGTTGCCTGACGCATATTGGCCCTTAGCATGTGATAAGTTCTCTGTGGATGAACACTGCGTTGTGGTAAAAGAGGTAATTCATACAGCAATCTCGGATACCGTCGCTTTAGTCACAACACAGCCCAAAAGAAATTCATCATGGCTGAGGAGAGGTACACAACGTATTCTGTAAGCAAAGAAGAAAGCTTGATTTACGTGGTGCGTATCCTGGAGTCAGACCAACCACGAGGCATGCTTGGAACTCAAGAACGGTGCAAGGCGAGTGTCAGGAGTGACAGGAAGCCACTCCAGGCTAATATGGCCAAAAAATCCTGGCAAACCCTGAAAGCTTGTACCTATCCATATCGGAAAGAAAGCCGACCAACAAGGAAGCATGCGCATGCGTAGACCCAGACGGTCAATAACTCACTGGTCTGCAGGTGGCTGAAACATTCAGTTTAGACTTCGCCAAACAGTTAAACAGCAATGTGGGTAATACCGGTAAGAACCAAAGTGGCTACACTAATATTTTATCGGAGGAAGGCCTAGTGGCTACTCCTCAAATAAACCCAGCTACAGAGACCCACATTTGGAAAGTCAACAGGTTGTGAAATCATCAGCCCATCTGTTCTAAAACAGTGCACCGTAGCTCTCTGCGGGCCCTTATGCGACCTCTTCCAACACTCGAAGGATTCGTGGAAACTGCCAAGGAAGTTGAAGATACCCATACTTTCTCCGATCTTCAAGGGGGTGGGGGATAAGTGAAATGCCACTAGTTATAGACCAGTAGCTCTAGTCACAATAATATCAAGTGCTGGAAAGTTCTATTGACGATCACATGAGGGATTACCTCGACAGGCCTAACATACTCGAATGAAGCCCGACGCGGTTTCAGGAAAGACAGATACTGTGTAACAAACCTGCTATCAACTTGGGACAATTGGACACCATTCTGGGATATGAATGTTCCAGTCCATGTTGACAAAAATGGACACAAGCGTAAATTACACGGGGGACGTGGTGAGGGTATATGCGGTCATACACCTTACACATAGACAGCTAGGTGCACTCACTCCTGAGCTCTTTCTAATGTTGTACAAAACATACGTCAGGCCATACTTTGAAGTGCATGATATTATTGCGTCCCCACTGCTTAGAAGAGGCGCCAACCTCCTGGAAAGAGTCCAACGGCGGGCGACAAAAGGAGTGGTTGGGCTCCGAAATGAATCATATGATGAAAGGCTATACACATTTGGCTAACATTGGTTTAGTTGGGTTCTGATTACTGCCTACAAGATAACAAATGACCGGAATCACCCAAAAAAAGGTGTTCTGCCATTGAGTAGATATGGGCTTCCTCGTGGAAATTTCAGAATGATAACCCACCAGTGGGCAAGGACCCGAGTGAGCTCCCACTTCTTTCCACGGCGGGTTTGCCGTCCCTGGAATTCCTTACCGGCAGATGTAGCTATGGCACCGTCTTTGGACGCCTCTAAGTGAAGGCTGGACAATCACGCAGTGACACAATGACTGCTTCCAATTGGCCTGTCCCCTTAAAATCCCATACACTATTCGGGGTAGACAACTAAGTTCGTCGTTTTACTTCCTTACATTCTCTCACGTCTTACTCCCCTGAAAACTCTAGCTACACCTATTATCATTACTGATACATATTTATATACATATATATATATATATATATATATATATATATACATATATATTTAAACTTCAAATTCAACCAGCTGTTTGTTTTACGTTTCCTTTATTTCTTTTTCTGTCTGTTAATCTGAATAACTTCACCAATTATATCTATTATTATTACCTCTTTTCTTTTGGCGACGATACTGGAGGACTAACTGGCGAAAGGATCAACTCCATTCGCAGTAGTAACAGCCTTAACACACCTCATGTTACAAGCCACATATAATTAATCCCAGGACTAGTCCTTTTGGAGGCAACCAAGGCTACGACAGTCGAAGGGCAGAAGTTTGCCGAGGATCAGGGACCTATACCTCACAATTAAGAGTCGAGCACAGAGAAATCAAATTGGTTGATACTAGTTCGTTGAAACGGTATTGGAGAGAGAATTCTGCACCAAAGTCAACCGCATCCGATCATCTTGGCACACCTCGGCATCAGGGGTTCCTCAGGGTTCTATCCTAGGGCCGTTGATGTTTTTGATTTTTATCAATGACCTGCCCCCCCAACTAAACTGCTCTGCGCTTCTTTACGCTGACGACGTAAAGATTTGGAGAGCAATAAACTCATCGGAAGACTCAGATAGATTGCAGGCTGACCTGCAAACTCTGGGAAATCGGGCCTTGGCTAACGGAATACCTTTCAATCTAAAGAAGTGCAAAGTAGTGCAGCTTCATTCCGGCAGGTCACAGAGTGTAAATTACACCCTTGGTGGCCAGAACTTGAGTTGTGTTCCATCAGAGCGTGATCTAGGTCTTATTCTAACAGAAAAGCTAGACACCAGTGGAAATTACTCGAGGGACGTCGCCAAAGCCTACGCAACATTACACTTTATGCATAGGCAGCTGGGAGCTCTCACTCCCGAACTGTTCTTAAGGCTATACAAGGCATATGTGAGGCCACACCTTGAGGTGCATAATATCATTGCACCTCCGCTACTCAAAAGGGATGCTAACATTCTAGAAAGTGTCCAGAGACGAGCGACAAAATGGGTGATCGGCCTCCGCAACAAATCATATGAGGAAAGACTAAAGAAATTAGGTCTTTTCACACTCAGTTACCGTAGGCACAGGGGAGACCTCATCACCGTCTACAAGATCCTAAATGACCAGGCCCACCCAAATAAAAGCATCCTGCCATTAAGCGATTATAGGCTTCCACGAGGTAACCCGCTAAGGATAGCACACCAGAGACCAAAGACTCGAGTGCGATCACATTTCTTTTCGCTTCGTGTTTGCCGTCTCTGGAACGCTTTACCGGCGGCCGTGACTACAGCGCCATCTCTGGAGATTTTTAAGCGGAAGCTAGACAATCATGCAGAAATGCAAGGTTTGTGTCTCAATGGCTTATCCTCATAAAATTTGAAACCAAACTGTCAATGAATAAGCGTACTAACTAAATCCCCACGACCTATTCTGCCTTCTCTCACTCTATCTTTTCCTTAGGTCACCTTTATTATTCCACTTATCTCAACCTATATTATCTACACTACAACCTATTATTATTATTATTATTATTACTATTCTGCTTTTATGACTACACCGAATGACCAAGGGGAGTTAGGTCAAACTCCATTCACGGCAGCAATACAGTCCTAACATACTGCATACTACAAACCACATCTCGACCAATCCCCGCACCACTCCTCCTGGAGTCTACCAGAGCTAAAGCAGTCGAGTGTCGGGACTTACTACGCAGAAGCTCACCGAAGATCTGGAACCTCTACCTCACAATCAAGAAGCGAGCTCAAAGAAATCACTGGTTTATACTAGCTCGTCATCAGGATATTGGATATTGGATATTGGATATTGGAAATTGCGCGATAATAGGATGCTAACTTGTTTGTCACAATTTTGATGTCCCCCAAGAATCTGTCCTGAGAATATTTCCTTCTGAGTTTCTCAGTTCAATATGTAAGTAATCATATGTCTGGGAGTGGTTCCTATTTTTATCAATCTCAACCATGTTGTTTTTGAGTTAATTTTACCTTTCATCCTACATGTGTTTTGTCTATGACTTCGGTTGTATGACACTTGTCTCTTCATTTTCAAACTTTTGTTAAATATTGCTACATTAGGTGTGATTAAATGGTGGGCTGACTTTGGTGAACTCTATGAGGATAGTTCTCCTAACTTAGTATGTCCATAGAATGAATTTCGGGGTAATTTTGTCTTGTTTCTGGCAGCTTTGGAAAAATTCTGGAGAGACGCAGCACTTTTCCCCCTAAAAACCATATTTCCTCAAAATTTATCCAGAAACCATTAAAAACTCCGAGTACCTGGAAACCGCCTGGGGCATGCCGCCAAACTGTTATCCAGGTGTCCGCATATGTGATTATTGGTTTGTTCGCCTACCTGCATGTACCCTGTGTAAGCATGCTGCACTATCAGCGAAACTTTAAGATCCACTGCGTCCACCAATCGGTTTGTATTAACTGTACTTTTGAGGCTTTGCATTTAAAATCCCCGTACTATGCAAAGCATTAGCAAAATGTAACTTTTCAGTCCTCAATATGTGCCTTTAAATCTGTTTAGCGTCCAATTTCACCGATAAGTTGACTTTGATATGAATCATTTAACGGAGGACTGAATAATGAAACAATGTGAGAGGACTTTCTACGTATCTTTAAGCAATTATTGGCGTGTTGAAACCCGGCCGTAAATGACTACATTTGCATCTGGTGCTTACAAAGCGGACAGATACTTGATTAAATTAGTGTCCTTGAAAAAAGTTCGGCTACAATTTTACCTTCACTATCATCAGAACACGAGAATCTCATCTCATATCCTACAGCTCATTTTAAGTTAGATATTAAGCGATTTTTCCATCTAAAAAGTAACGTACTGCACCTCAGTGGTATGAACTGAATGACTTACAGAAATGCTTCGTGCCTATCCAAAATGTGCATTACTTTACTGGTTCGTGCAAAATTTATTTTGAAATGTGTTTTGACTAACGTCTGCATCTTGGCTACACTTATAAAAGTTTAAGAGTTGAGTTAATATTACTATGATTTATCAAAATAAAATCTTATCAATAATGGAGTTATAATCTACCACAGTGCCCAAGTTTTATACTTATATCAAGTTGGAGAGTTCTATGTGAAATAAATAACGTGGAAAGACGACTAACGGCTAAGTTTTCCTTACTGAATTTTGTTTGTGTATTGTACTGTAAAAGTATCTTGAGAATTCTCCATTTAATGAATCTGATTTACATATAGAAACCGATCCATAAAATCGATCAGCAAATGTGTCTAGAGCCTTCCCTTTCAGACAGTAGAAGTACAACATTTTTTCAATCATTTCATACGTTATCTCCACCTTAAACTTTTTATGAGGCTGTTTTATGCAAGATTCAGAACTATACTGAGTACATTTGTGTAAGAAAATCAATCAAGGTATAATATGTATTTGGTGGTATAGTTAGTGGAATTATAACGTGTGAGGAAACAAAATTGTCAACACAAAATTGTTCTGTACTGAAGACCCTTCTGCATTTAACATCTTTTCCTTATAGCTTCATTTGCAGCATACATAGCTTTCCAGAAGGAATAAATAAGCTGGATAACTTAGCACATAGATCATTACCTAAGGCACAGATTGATAATATAAGGCCATCTCTTTGACGTTACTATGCCAGTAGAGATAAATATAGTCGATTTAACCACATTAAATATGAAAAGTCCCAGAATCCGTGATCAACTTGGTCCCTGCTACTTGAAATCTTTCTAATTTGTCTGGTTTGTAATTGACACGTAGTCTATCTGGATTCCATATTTTAAATAAGGTCTGATATATACCAGGTAAGCAAAATGCGTCAACACTGAAGCTTAGAGAGACCTTATATAGAGTTCATAACACCCCTAAAGTTTGCTCAAACACTTCTCTACAGTTCTCTATGATCTTTAGGTTGTGATTCATAGCCACTCCTTAATCCTTATGCTTCGTAACTGTTTGTGCAGTAAAATTATTCATTGCTTAGCTGTATGTATTACTTTTAGCGACACGCCTACTCACATTCTTGCTTGTACTAAAGTTCAACACTGGTGCTTACACCACTCAGTCAGTAGATAGTTTTCTTACGAAGCAGGTCTGCAACTATAATAAGCTCTGCAGAGTTTAACTTTTGACTTGTACAAAGCAGAAACAGAAGAACACCTAGTGTTGTACTTTGAGACATTCTACTATTGACTACTGATGACAGGATGCTATCAAACTTTATTCTTGTTCTTAGTCAACTCCTGATTCCTGTTAGCCACTATAATACTGAGTCCAAGACTATCACATTTTACTACAGGACCCAGATATCCTGCAAACTATTTGGTCAGTATGAATCTATCAGATATGAAAAGAATCATCCAAGTTTCAAACAGTCTATAGTAGCAAAGATTTGAATAAAACCATGGCACTTCAGTTTATTAAGACTTTGAAGTGTTTAAAAAATAAAAATCTGATCTGAATGTCTCTGTTCAAAACTACTGGACCCTTCTAACTCATTTATTTAGGTTTACCGAAGACCCATAAACTGGGAGTTTCTCCATGCCCAGTGCTAGACATGATGAACGCAGTATTTCATTTACTGCTAAATGACTGGCAAATTTACTGGAGCTTCTGCATCCAGAATCATTTAAATATAGTGTAAAAGACGTCTTTACCCTTGTTAAAAATATCAAAGATATGGGTAAAATGGATAAAACTATGTTATCTTTAGATTTAACGTCATTATTTACCGACGATTCTCTTGTTGAAACAGTGTACTACATACTTAAGAAAATAGTAAAAGGAAAAATAAATATTGGGACTTATTGCTAAGATGTATCATGCATGTTCGCTTTGTATGTAACAAGGAGTTTTACTGACAAGTAGATAGGGTTTTGTGGGTTCCATTTTGGATCTGTTTACAGAAGACACTTTAAAAAATTTAGAAAATAGTCCTCTGAGAGAGATGTTGAGTAAACTTGAATATTATTGGCATTATGTAAGCGATAGGTTTATCGTTTGTAATAGCAGTTTGGATGAACAAAATGTGATGTGAGCCTTCAGTAATATTTACCCAGCACTTAAATTCACTTGCGAAGAACGGCATCAAGGTAGCATTTGGGATGTTCTTCCTACTAAATAGTTAGACGAAATGATAAAGAGAGATACCCAAAAGAGAATAACATGGAAAGGACAGTATATCCGTCTTCACAATTTCTAACCCATACAGTATAAGTGGAGTTTAATTTGTTATCTTAGTTACACAATCAGACATATATGTACAGAGGATTGTATTAAAGATGAAATCAAGCCTCCTAAAAGTACCCTGTTACAAAATGGTTATCCTACCAATTTTGCAGGGAAGCCTATTTCTAAGGGAGCAGATCGAATGAAGTGGGATACAGAGAGTCAGAGGAAGCTTTATTTAAGGGTGCAGACAAAAAGGTGGTATATACTGTGATACACTAAGTCGTAGGTTGATTAAAACAGAACTGTGCGGCAGTTTTTCAACCAGACCAATACTGACACAGTCCATTAAAGATAAATTAGCAATCATGGCCACATCAATGTGTATGCACAAATGTAACTCCTGCTATGGAGTTGGTTGTGTAGGTCGTACTCAAAGAAATTAATCTTTACTCACTCGTGTTCCTGCTTGGCTTGGAAAAGGAGTAGTCAAATCAGTAAATAGTTCCATTTTTTCTCATTTATTATATAATGAACACAGCTTAATACTAGGTGAATCACTTATGGTTGAATATCGAGTACCAAAAAATCTGCTTACAGGTATACGATTACATCTCCTGGCCATAGGTGAAGCTGCACACATTAATAAGAATAAATCTGACTAGTTTGTGCAAAAAGTACATTCGATTCGTTTATCATTGCCTATCATAAGGTTATCAGGGATATCACGATCATCTCATACATTTATGCTGCATTATGTTCTTCCTATTCCTTTTCACCCAGTTTAATTCACATCATAATTACTATTAATATTTTTCAACCTTCCGATTTGCATCAAGTTTATCATGTCTCTATTATTTGATGAAATTTCATTATTTAACCTCTTTATTTTATCGTAATATTTGTTATCTGTCAATCCTCGAACTTACATACCGTGCCTCATCTATTTGTTTGTGATTTTTCGGTATTCATATTTCCCTCACACTATTGAATATAACTCATCCCCTCCGGAAATTTACATTTTGTTGATCATAAATACATTGGTATGTCATTCGATTGCCCAATCACATTTTACTTTTTGTTCTGAATGACTGTACACTTTTAGTGCATTCAGTGAACATTTTAACTACAGGACTATTACTTGTACCACAAGACAGTTTCTGATATCATTTTCATTTGCCTTTACAGGCTGTTTGTGTTCTAATATTCATGGATTTACAAGTGTAGAGGCTGCAGAAAAAGTTATCGAAAACAATCGTTAGCTAAAAAACTATTCTGGCATTGAATAGCATGGCGTTATTTATTATATGCCTAAGAAACGTGTGAGCTTCTAGTAATTGTTTTGACCCCCGCTAAGTGATAATTCAATTATTTTTTTACAGCAGCACTTCCATACCGTGCTTAATTTTTGTTGTTTTTAAATGCTTGATGTTAACCGGAAGCAAAATCAGCAATGAGCTTGTAATTCAAATATTGGTTTGTGGGGATTTGATTGATTGAATACTTGAATATCAGTATGATGCTCACTAGCGACTGTTCTTATTCAGGTAAGCAGCTACCTGGGATTCTAGTGGGAAGTCGTGACCAGTTGGCTACAGCAGGTTGGGTATAAGGGCAGATACTCGCTGAAGACATTGGCTAGTGGTCGCGCTATGTCGTGAATTGGAGTTGGATCGAGTCCTAATGGGTTAATAATATTCAAGCTCGCTTTGCAAGCATAGGGTCCTGGGTTTGAACCCCAGAGTGTGGATGCAAGCTGATGAAGAATCCCGAACTAGAAAGAAACAGCTGTCCAGTACTCCAAGGTTTTCCAATGGTTCTCTAACTGATGTCAGCTCATGATAAAATCCTGTAATCAATGAACTTGTAAATCTAGCAAAACGAAACAGAAATGAATAGCAGCGGTTACAAATAATATCTTTCCTTTGATTGGAAACTAACTAGTGTCATGAGTGTACTTCTCTGTTCGCTGCGTACTGAATTCTCCCAGTCAAGTTTGAAATACTGCTACCATTCTATGTGGTTCACGACTATGGTGTACTTTTAATTGCTGTTATTAGGTGGTTGGTGGGCATCGGCAGGAAGCCTTGAAGCTAGGTTTCTTGCTAGCTGGCACTTGTGAGCAAGGTGTATCTGCAGTCTTTAAGGAACTCATATTCTTTCCGATATTCGGATCTGCGTCACCCAGTGCTGCAATTAGATAAATTACTACTGAGCTATTCGGGCCCACAGTTGATCCCCTGTAGGATTGTACTAGATACTTTGATTGAGCATTAACTATTGGCATGCGTCTAGTCTTTTGTTTCTTACAGACTGAATTCTATCAATGAGGTTTGATGCAACTAAAATTTGATTGTAACGCGAACTGTTAAAATCATTCACATTTCAACACAAGAGCTGGACTGAAAAATGATGATTAGTCCACACAAACTTGTTGATTGAATTTATAAACTATAGTGCTTAAATGGTGCCGCATTATTATTGGTCCTTACTGTTTTTTCTTCACCTTTTCACCTTTTTTCAGAAACCGGATTTACAAACATGGTTCACTAATATTTATTATAAACCTAAAAAGTGATCAATGATTAGATCAAGTGTAAATTTTGTCTTGATTTCAGCCTCAAAATCGTTCAACCAGGTTTGCTATCGTATAGTGTCACTTTGAACCTTAAGTTCCGGACTGCTTCGAACAAATCGTTCCATAAAAAATTTGGAGTTCTCAATAAAACCATTAGTAATCCTAAAAAGATCACATGTAATAGAGAATTTGAATATCTGACTACTTTATTATAGTATTTCTAGGTGCTCTTTCATGCGGAGGTTTCGCAGTGTTCTACATTACGAAACCTAAAAAGAACAATGTTATTACATTAGAGGAGCTTGCAAGACATAATAGCAAAGAAACTGGAGTTTGGGTTTCTTTTAAAGGAAAAGTTTACGACGTTACCAGTTTTGTTGATGAGCATCCTGGAGGTGACAAGATCTTACTGGCTGCCGGGTCTGATGTCGGACCCTTTTGGTCGGTGTATGCATTCCACTACGAAGAACATGTCTTAAAGATACTAAATAAATATTATATTGGAGAGCTAGAACAATTGGTAAGTAAATGTATACGTTAATAAATTCTCGTAACATCTGGCAATCAAATAAGCCTAAATTATTTTAATTATCTTTAAATGTATTTATTGTTGTTTCATGATGCACGTTTTGACAGCAAAATATAGTTTACTAAAAAAATTATGGGACACATTTCTTGATTAATTGCATGGAATGGTCAACAAATGTGACAGGCACCATACAAAAATCATTAATCTTAGTGTTACATGAGCAGGATATTGTATATCATGACCGAGTTTGTAGAGAGAACAGTAGTCTAATGTATAATGTTTTCATTCCTAATTGTCGTGGACTGGATTATGAGGCACACTGTGGATGGGCAACCAGAAGACAGGAATTCGTTAAACCGATAAGAAGACTCTAGAAGATCTGTATTTCGATGACGATTTATGTCTGACGTCACACATACTGGAAGACTCACAGGCGAAAACCAACAAGTTAACATAAGAAGTGGCGAACACAAGACTTCATGTGAACATAAAGAAGATGGAGGTGGTGAAAATAACCAGCCAACAACTACAAGCACCAATCACTATCAACGAAATAAATTTAAAAGAGGTAACTTCCTTTACTTATCTGGAGAGCAACGTTTCAATTACAGGCAGCATAGATAAGGGTATCAAAACCAGAATTGGAAAGACAAAACAGACTTCCGTCACTCTGAAATCGATTTGGAAATCTTCTGCACTCAGTATAAGGAACAAGATTTTAAACACCCATGTTAAATTAGTCAGCCGCTTTCTATGATTCGGAAGCTTGGTGTTCGCATCACGGAAAGCATTTCGAACAAGCTGAATAGTCTATCACTCAACAAATATGTCGAAGAAAATGGAAACGAGTCGCAATCACTCTGAGGCGACAGTCGGGCGTTATCGTAAGCTAAGCTGTCTAGTGGAGTTCGAATGGGAAACGAAAAGTTCGGTGTCCTTGGGTGACATGGAGGAGATCGTGTGAGTTGGAGGAGATGAGAGATTATGGGCAATCGTGGCACCAGCTGAAGAGAATTTGGGAGAACAGGATGTAATGGAGGTGTGCCGTTGAAGCCATATGTTTCACTCGAAACTCAAGGGAAAAATAATAAGGTATAATACTTTTATTTTTATGATAGCATATGACTAAATATTATCAAGCGCGATTAAAATTCTTACGCTTGAATTACTAGTTTCTTTTTCAAAAAGAATTTTTCCGGCTCATCACTCCCAAAAAGTGAAAATTAACCCCGTTGCTTGTTTGTACAGTATTTTTCACTTGGCTTTACAACTACACATATAATAGAATTTTAATTTAGTAGTTTTAGTCATAGTTTACTTAAAGAATTGGTTAGAAAGCAGCATATTATATTAATTATTTCCTGTGATGTTATGCTGTATTGCAAAATTTGTCATAGCTGAAGAAGACAGACAGAGATGAAACGATGAACAAAATAGTTATAATATGAACCATTTAGATGTAAACTTACATCGTATAAGTGTCATTGAATAAATGTATGTCTATATGTTCTTTATACAAGCATATGAGGAAATCACAGTATATATAATTAGCCTTTCTAACAAATTATTAGACAGTGGGTGGTCATGATGAATGTTACACTTTCTTTTAATTCAGCTTTCCTGAAAAGTGCCTAGTTTTCTCTAATGTTATATGGATGATTTATAGTTTCAGAGAAAAATTATTCTAAAAATGTCCTTAATTTTTACAAATTATATATTAGTTCATTTCCAAATCTTTTTCTATTCCCCTAATTCTCTTCTACTATCAGGATCAGAGTGACGAAGAAGAGAGTGCAAGCGTTTATGATTCTGATCCTAAAAGAAGTCCATTGCTCAGTATAGTCACTAAGCGTCCCTTCAATGCTGAAACCTCTATTCCACTGATAAATGACAATCCAATTACTCCAACAGAACTTTTTTTCGTAAGAAATCATCTTCCTGTGCCCACAGTTGATCTTAAGTGAGTTGTTTTATACAACTATAGTATTTATTATTCACATGATATTAGTAGAGACAGCATACAAATGTAACTAGTAAGTAACCATACACAAACTCAATGTAATGATCTTCCCACCGCCTGCAGTAGTTTCTCACTACAACCCTGAAAAATACATCTAAACCCAGTTACTTGTGACGTGTATATCAGGAATAAGTCAGTGGGCTATAGGGATTCGAATAAATTCAATCTAAATTTAATCGTACATAAACGTTGGTCTGCAGAATCTCTAAAAGATTTAGCAAATGTAGCATATCGGATAGGGAAATGAAAACAATTAATTATTCATTCAGATATTTATAAAACACAAAATAATCTTTTCGATAAATTCCTCTTCTGGCTCTACATTTATATATATATATATATATATATATATATATATATATATATGTTTATATACACAAAATATTCAAGGTTGGTAGTTAATAACAATATTGGTGTTTTCTAAATAATATCGATTTGTAAAGTATGATCAATGCAATTACAGTTCACTAGAAATACTTAAATTATAATAGTAATAAAGATATAATAGCGAGTAGAATATCAACTAAAATTAGGAAATTTCCACAAAAATTGAGAATCATTCAAACCTAGATGGCCAAGGTAAGGACAGCGTCTGAACTAACTTCTTTTGGACGCACAAATTAGGCTTTTTAATGTGGATCCCAACAGCCTCAGCAATATTTAGTAGTCGAACTCTTAAGGCGGAGTTGAGATTTGTTGGTATCCAACAAATAACTCTAAAAGCCTGGTTAACATTAATCTTATGTTCTGTATCCACAAAATGAGCCAGAATAGCGCTACGAATAGATTTTGTTTGGCCTTTGCTTAACCACTATGCAGGGTGATGTTCGGAAATTCGACGAGAAACACGCCTAATTGTACGGCCTATCTAACTGGCTCCACAGGAGCAGTTAAGTTGGTAGATACACATGAATGAGGAGAAATTAGGCAGTTTGTCTTTTACTCCCGAACGCAAAAGAGGAGTGGTCTTAAAGATACAACGTAATTCAGCAGCAGGGAATGCTCGTTTTACCGCATTTCTAATGCGCTGTGTTAGTATCTCGCTAGTGTTGTCCCCAAAGAACTGCATCTGAAAAAATAAGGCCTTTTTTGGAACTTTTGGTAACTTCGGCTGCCTTGGTTTCAAATTCACATTCCTATCAATAAAATTTTCAGGATAACCATTCTCACTTAGCAACCGTTTAATATTATTCAGTTCTTCATCAAGACATTTATCCGAGCAAATCGCTCTTGCTCTGTGAATCAGGCACTTCATCAAAATGCGTTTGTACTTCAAGGGCACAAAACTGAGAAAATGTGTGTACTGGCCCGTTGATGTAGGTTTTCTATAAACCAGATACCAACAAATCTCAACTCCGCCTTAAGAGTTCGACTACTAAATATTGCTGAGGCTGTTGGGATCCACATTAAAAAGCCTAATTTGTGCGTCCAAAAGAAGTTAGTTCAGACGCTGTCCTTACCTTGGCCATCTAGGTTTGAATGATTCTCAATTTTTGTGGAAATTTCCTAATTTTAGTTGATATTCTACTCGCTATTATATCTTTATTACTATTATAATTTAAGTATTTCTAGTGAACTGTAATTGCATTGATCATACTTTACAAATCGATATTATTTAGAAAACACCAATATTGTTATTAACTACCAACCTTGAATATTTTGTGTATATAAACATATATATATATATATATATATATATATATATATATATATATATATATATATATATATATAAATGTAGAGCCAGAAGAGGAATTTATCGAAAAGAATATTCTTTGCCCGGTTATTTTATGAATTAATTATCCCTTGATTACATTCACTGGCGGTTTCATTGTCCTCTGCCGATGAAGCCTGACAGACTTGGGTTTAAAAAAGCTTTAAAGTAGCTGTCCAATGTTTCTTAGTTTTCATTGGTACTCTAATCAGTGAGAGTTCGTGACTAAATCTACTACCTTTGGATAAATCAAATCCTCATCAATCCTAACACTTATCAAAATTGTTTTATGTTCTTTTTGTTTACCCTTTATCTATCCAAAAAATTATTTTCAACAATTTAGAGTAACTTGTTAGTAACACAATAGTATAACTGAGGGTACATCGGTTTTGCAATAACAAATGTCTTACATTGATTTTGTTCAAATGTCTCATAAATTTTTTACTCATATATATAAACAAAGCAAGAAAATTGTGTGAGATGTACCTCGATAGGATTATGAGCAGCAATAAATTATGCTCAAAATGAGGTCATCAGTAAATATTACTGTATAAGACTATGTGATTTTATCAAAATAAAATTTTATCCATAATGGAATTACACTCTGCCACAGTGTCCAGGTTTTATCCTTATATCAATTCAAATATATCGATTTATTTTGATTGGACACTAGGTAGTAACTAGTGTCTTGCAGGTGTAGTCTTTTCTTTGGTACAGACCGAATTCTATCGATCAATTGTGTGTTATGTGGCCACCATTCTAGGTGGCTGGCAATCACGATGTACTCTGAATTGTTGTTATTAGATGATTGGAGGCAATCGGTAAGAGATCTCGAACCCAGGTTTTGTGCTTGTTGTCACTTGGGATTGCAGATAAGCCCTGCTGACGAGTAACAACAAGCACAAAACCTAGGTCTTAGGCTTCCTGCCGACTGCCTCCAACCATCTGATACTGATTCATTATCATTTAATAATTCTGAAACCTTACTAAGTCATATCTTTGTAAGCAGTACACAGTAATTTAATCATCTTAACGTTAAACCATTTTTGAGATAACTCTTGTTGACAGTGTATACACTTGAAAACATGACTCATTAGCAGAAAGTGACGTGCTGGTCAAACAACGACAACTGTTAAAAATAAATTACACTCATCTAGAAAGATTCATTAAAAAGTGTTTGAAAATACCAATGTTAGTAGATGTGCTCGACTGTAGCCTGTATTCTCTGTGACATAAATCCATATTGAATAAGTGGTTTCAGCCCATTCAACAAGTGCTTTCTCTTTAATCTCATATGACGGAAGTAATTGTCACACAAGTGTATACTGTCTTACCACAAAAAATTAAGTTTTTGATCAATGAAGTTGAATAAAAGTTTGATATTATCGTGATAACTTCTCAACAGATGACTATATTACCAGGTAGAAATGAGCATTATCACGGGATAAACTAACTAGACAATAATTTTAGATCACAGCGATCAGAGAAATAGGCCCATAAAACATTTCAAACTCCTTCTATATTAAAAAACAAATTTTCAAAAGAAAGTAACCAGAAAGACCAAACAGAACAAATTGAAGGGGAGATAACACAAATGCTGAAGAAGCTAAAGAACGAATCGATTATCAGCCCTGAATTATTTGAGCAAATACGTGATTCCTCGTTTATTTGGTCTGCCGAAAGTAAACAAAGAGGACATGCTACTACGTTCAATCTTGGCTATGACAAATTTCCTATATCATCCTACTGCCAAGTGGTTCGCAGATATCTTTCTAACTATCAGAAATAATCCCTGTCACCATAGTGTTTCACATTCATTTGAATTCATCGATTCAATAAGTGGTGCTAATATATCGGGGAAGAAAAAGGTACCCATGGATGTTACGCCCATTTTCACTAGTGATCTGCTCACTGAAACTATGTGCTTTATATGCAAATTCATTGAGGATAATAATGTAGACGAGGGTGTTCCGATCCACTACTTAAAGGAATTACTATTGAGGTGCACTTTTAATGTCCAGTTGAGGTTCAACAACGCGCTTTATAGAAAAAGCGATGGAGCAGCGATGGGATCACGATTGGGTCCTTTACTAGCAGATTGCTTCTTGGCAAGTCAAGAGAATATGTTACGATCCACTATCGATAGTTTCCATATGTACCAAAGATATATGGATGATACTTTCATTATATGTGAGGAGAATTCCAACATTGAAATGATAACTAAGGAGTTCAACAGCTGTCATCATGCCATCCAGTTCACGTCAGGATCAGAGATGAACTCGGAATTCCATTTCTTGGATGTTTTTCTGAAAAGGAGATCTGAGGGTTCTCTTCAAAAGTCGATCTTCAGAAAACCAACATGGAATGGTCAATACACGAATTTTCTTACTTCATATTTACTGTCCTAAACATTTTACCGAAGTCCTAACAATTCCAAAACTATAGATCCAGTTTTTCAGGCAACACAAAAAAGTAGATCCTGTACTGAAGTAAGTTGGAAAGGGTTTTATGAAAAGTAACTTGAGAACCTTGAACAAAAGCGGCACTGGTTCAGTTTGTTGCAGTTCAAAGCACTACAGAATGTTCAATTTTTAGTGGATGACACAGTAGTCACCGTTTTTTAACTCCACATAATTTCGAATCGAAAGATAGACAGGTACAGAGAAGAGTAGGTTAACGAGAAAACAATCGGGTTTCATGGAAATGTCGTAGTTCAGTTGGCTTCAGTTCAAATTATCAAATGTCAAATCAAGTCAGGTTGAAAGCCTCTGGCTGAAGTAGAGAAGACTATACAAGTACAAGTGAAAAATCAATAAAAAATACCTGAAAGTTCTAGATTTACACTTTCAAGCTTTCTTTTAGCTTAAATACATACGCGTATTTTTTCTCTACCTAAGATTCATCAATTTTGAAAAATATAGTAGTTTAAGTGATTCGCATGGAAAAGTTAAAGGTTGTAAATCATCTTATCGTCAATACATTTACTGGCTAATCTCCCATATGAAATCTGATTAGCGCAGTAGTTAGAAGTGGGCATTTTTGTTACTAACTTCCACAAAATTATCAGTCGTGTAGTCTAGTTGTGGTGAGAGCTGACTGTTAGTCAAAATTGGTGGACAGTAATTTACGTCAGTGTTTATGCCCCCAATATTGGTCGTGAGAAAAATGAGAACAAAGCCTTTGCGTACAGTTAACATATAGATGATCTGGCATTCAAGAAACAGCCACAAAGAGATGCAAGGTTAACTTTCCGTGAGAAACAACCAATCAGAAGACAGTGTTTTTCTGCTAACAATAATCTTTAATATGTACTTGAAGATCTATAAAGATGTGTTGACTTCCTTAATAAACGATCTGTTGCCTGGCCCTTGTCTTCTTTTGTTACATAGTTACTGGTTGACAAAACTTATTGATAACATTTATCTGTTCGATGTTGAGTTTGCAAAATAGATAACTTTTGTTATAGTTGTATCATGATGCTGGTGGAGATAGGGAATCTTCCTTTCGCGAATGTAATGCATTTCTTATGCGCTACACAGTAAGTGAGTAATCTTTCAGTTTCATTGTATGGCTGGTTTTGCAGGATGCAACAGAATTCTCCCAGTTCAAAGGGTGACTTTTAGAAGCCATTTTTATAATTCATATAAATTGAAATCATTTTAAGTATACCTGAGTTTTAGATGGTATACGTCTGTGCTTCAGTGGTAAGATGCGCGCCAGCTATGCGTGTGGCCAGAGCCTGATTGCCACTTGACTCACTCCACTTATTTTACTACCAGCAGGTAGAAGATCCCGAAAAGAGGAGTGAGTGATTTTGAGCTTAGCGACCCTACCACTCCGTAAAAAATAATACGACTGCAATTGGAACTTCTGAGCTCATAGCTTGAAACCCTATGTGCCACTCGCAAATGCAGAGAATGGAAAAGAATTCATAATTTGATTTTCAAGCCAGATTTATGCTTTGATTTTGATTTCTAGTGTTTTCGAATTACAAGCGATTATCTTATTTTAAGCCCAGATGAAATTTATGACCATCATTTTGCATTCACCTGAGGTCCAAAGCTGTCATTTCAGTAATACAATAGTAGCTACATGGATTCATATATTAGTAAGTATCCAATGATAATCAGTGTTGTAGTTATGCACAAATACATAAATTTCATACATTTGGTTCCCTTGAAAAATTTTGATAGAGAAAGAAAGACCAGATCTGCAGTATAAAATGATATCATTCTATTTCACAGGTTCTCATCAGCTGCAAACTACCTGAAATTACAATGGTTATAAATAATAATATTTCATACTTTATTGTTCGAAGGGTAATAGAGAAAACATTATAAGGTGAACGCATCTGGAATATAAGTATTATAATTTATGGTTTAAGTTACCATCAATTTATATAGTATCAAACTATGAAAAAAGAAAAAAGGGGGGTGAGAGAAGAAAGAAAACAGAAAAAATCTAAGAAACAGTGTCAACATGGCAACTCAGGAAGGTCAAAGTTCATCAATTTGAAAACTTGCTTAGTGAGTTGAGTCCACCAGTGCGTATGACTAATCAGTGTAATGAAACTGATATGGTTACCAAGGGAGTGAGAGATTGACTACACTCACTTTCTGTATGCATAGGCTTGGCCGGGGACATTTAAATGCAATTGCTTCAGTAAATCGTAGTAGATTCGCTGTCATTTGTATGTTTAATATTTTAAAGCATTTGGAATCCTCGACAAAATGACCCGTATCCACAAGGTGTCTGGTAATTGCACTTATATTCCAGATGCGTTCACCTTATAATGTTTTCTCGATTACCCTTCGAACAATAAAGTATGAAATATTATTATTTATAACCATTGTAATTTCAGGTAGTTTGCAGCTAATGAGAACCTGTGAAATAGAATGATATCATTTTATACTGCAGATCTGGTCTTTCTTTCTCTATCGAAATACACAAATACCTAAATAATTGATAGGAATTTATTATACATACACATGTGACTCTAATTCATGGTTAAGTATGTATTATTTCTGAATTATCACAGTATGGGTTCGATTACGGGATGAAATCAGTTAGAGAACCATTGGATAACTTACAGGGAGTACTGGACAGCTGTTTCGTCCCATTTTCGGACTTTTCATCAGTGCATACTCACTGGGGTTCGAGCCAAGTATATCACATAAATACCATTTCCTAACCTGTTGAGAATCTTGGTGCGGTAGCCTTGTAAAATGGGTTAAGTGATGGTCAGTTACCCAATAGATAGTTGTATTCTATTTGCCCAATTATTTTAACCCTTCCTGAACTTCATTCTAGTGACTCTGTTAACGTAGACATTTCTGGAACAATAATCTGTTGGCTGTAGTTGTTATTTCTGTCAAAGTTAGAAATAATAAACTAGTGAGTTAATCAGCTAAATTATTCTCTTTTTACTCAACCGTTTTCTTCTGAATTAAATGAACTAATTGGTGTATGTAATTTTTTCTTAACTCATTCCCTAGTTTCTTTAATAATCCGATGAATGTTTGCAGTAGAAGTTAACTTCAAAGGTATCTTTCTATTACAGAACATACAGACTAGAAATCACCTCTCCAGTTGTAAAGACTAACAATCAGTCATTAAAATTATCGCTTAAATTAGAAGATATCCAAAAGAATTATCCTCAGAAAAGTTTAATTTCTACAATTGTTTGTGCTGGAAACCGACGTAGAGATATGATAAAATTTGATATTGAAAAAGCCCAAATGGAAGATCGTAGTCCATATGTGAAAGGTTTATCATGGTCTGGAGGAGCCATCTCAACAGCAGAATGGACTGGTGTACCATTAGTTGATCTATTGGCTTATCATCTTCTTCCAGTAAATCAAAGGACAGACTACCAGGCGCTGCGCAATCTGCTTAAAAATGCAGGTGTATGCCATATCCGATTTGATGGTAAGCTCAGGATTTGGCATCATTTGTCAAGTGAATCATTTTGTTGCTGTCATGCGTAATCAAATATTTTTTTATCAAGGTTTTTCTAAATTACAATTTTCTTCTGTTTTCCCGTAATATTTAGTTAAACATGACGCTTTTATGTCTAGATTACAAAGGTCGAATGAGTTTCACAATTATTAAGTTAGCTGAAATCTAATTCGCCTCTCAGGTGAGTATGCAAACCCATGGATGAAACAATACCACACATGTGTTTCCAAAATTTTGGGTGGCTTCTCTTATTTCTCGTTCACTTTAACTGTGAAGCAATTTATCTTGTTACAGTGAAGTTTTTCAGTACCTTAACTAGTTATATATGTATTATTCCTTCAAGTTCCCAATGGAACATAGGGCTTCAGTAGAATATCTCCATTTTACTTTGTTTTCTTTATCTTTATCAGCTGTCTCCTCGATTACTCATAGGCTTTCATTTCCTTCTCACATGATTTTCTCCATGTCATCCTGGGATGTCCAACCTATCCTTTTGCGTTCTGGTTTCACTCTAGGACCTGGTGCGTGATGTCATTCAACGATATCCGAAGTGTGTATTCAGTCTATCTCTCTTTCCTTCTGCATATTTGTTGGGCGATAGGCTACTGATTATTCACTGGCAGGGTCAGTGAATGTATCTTTTGATAAAAGCCTGAGAAAGGCTGTTGGGAATTCTCTTGGTAACGCATCAAGTCTCTGAACTATATAAAAACACTAACTGACTTGAAATTTCTGTTGAATATCCAAATCTTGTTCTTTATTCTGAGTAAAGCAAATTTCCACATTGATTTCAGTTCGTCATGGTCTGTCTTGCTTTTCCGATCCTACCTGGTTCTGGCATCGTCATCTGTGCCAGATGTAGTTGAAACGAGTCTGTCCAGCTTAGTAGGTATCAGAGGTGACTTCCTTTAAATTTCTCCTCTTGATGGTGATTGGTGCATAAATTAAAGCGAAAACGTGTCTCATGAAACTACTATCCTATAATTCAAATACCTTTTGATATAATCATACGTTATACTTTGGTTAGCTGTATGCAGTTTAACTTCAGTTCCTCATGGTTTTTAGGCTTTACAGGCAATATGCACAATATTGTCAGAAATAAAAAGCAATAAATAATGTTCAGCTTTAAAAATTTCAATAGTTTGTATACTCGAATTACACATGTTTATAATTTTAGAGTAGAAAATTATAACTGTCTATTGTTTTCATTTTCTGAAGAGTATAAGTAATAAGTTACTATGGTAAATTACTGTTATTTTTTCGTCTCGGATTGTTATTGCACTTAAATGTTTGTAAGGTTAATTCTTAATGCATATTTAGAATACTATGATTATAGATTTTATTAAGTACGTTTACATGACTAAACAGTGGGTTCTACAGTTATATGTCTGTAATAATCACTGAACTGTTGTTATTGATAATATTCATGTTTTTTAGCAAATTAAAAGTCCCCAGTGAATCATAAAAATGAACGTCTTCCCTTCTTTATTAATATTTCAAACTTCATTGAACCAATAATATCGATAGATTACAGTTGAAAAGTATTTGTAAGTGATAATATGCATAGAAATGTAACATCTAAGTGAATATCAGATAAGTTAACAAAACAATAATACTGAAATTTTCAAGTGTTGGGTTTTTGTAGGGATTTTTTGTTTGATTGGTTGAAGGATTTCATCATGACCTGACATTCGTTAGAGAACCATTGGAAAATTTGCAGGGAGTACTAGACAGTTGTTTCGTCAGCCTAGTTTGGGACTTTTCGTCACTATGAACTTACCTCCAGGGTTCGAACCCAGGACTTTCTGGTTACAAAGCGGGCTCGTAGACAATTAAGCCACTGAGACCCGATCCAATGACTATCTTGTAAATTCTGACTTCTGACAATTCACGAGATAGAGCGACCATTTCGGGTTGAGTCTACAAGCTCGCCTTGTAACCAAAAGGGCTTGGGTTCAAGCCCTGGCAGTGGGTGCGTACTGCTAAAGAGTGCCGAACTAGAACGAAACAATTGTCCAGTACTCCCAGGTTTTCCAATGGTTCCCTAACTGATGTCAGCTCATGATAAAATCGCCCAAACAATACAGAAATTATGTATTTATGGGTTCCACAGAAAGTCGAAAGGATGTCAGTAATGGCTGAACTTCTTTCTTTTGTATCCAGATGTATGGTTGTTTCAAGCCAAAATGCAATGGACTCTGCTGTTTGAAGTATTTCCATTGTTTGTTCAGCAACATATATTTTTGAAAATTTCTGTAACTTTGTCAATCAAAATAATGAGCATTTGCTGTAAAACGATATTATCTTACTCTCTAGACACTATATAGATTTTTTGGTAAAATAGTTACCAAGAGACAGACCGAATTTCTGAGCATACCATCTAAACTTACTCTTCCGCATTTTGGGCAAAAAAAATTTAAATCTGCAAAACATCATTTGACCATTTCTAAAAAAATTCAGAGTCAGTTTATCTTCAAGAGTTACTTTTCTAGGGATTTTATTTGTCCCAGTTTTGATCATGGATGTCAATTAGAGAACCATGAAATAGTAAACTGCCATTTCGAGCTCGTTTGAGACTTTTCACCAGTACCTACCGATGACCCCACAGCTACGGATTGGACCTATGATCTTCACTTTATGAGACTAAGCTTGTTCATCACTGAGTCATATGAGCCGGATCTCAATGACCCGTGAATTCTAACTTCTGTAAATTCACAATTTAATTTGTGTTGTGTGACCTAGAAGCTTTACGCTTAAAGCATAAATGGAAAGGTGTATTATACCCTGATTGTGTTGATGACTATTTCGATGAATTTTTCAAGATATTAATATTGTTATTGCTACCGTGCATGAAAATAATTCAATAATTTACTGTACTAATTATCAAGCAAAATAATTTACAGCAATATGATCCCGTTGTTCCTTAAATTCATTTGAAAAAAATACAAATTAATCAATTAAGCCTTGTTTCAATAGAATACACGGTGATTTTTTGGTATGTCAATTATGTTTTAATTATTGTCACACTTCTGATTCAGACAGATCATTCCATACATTTATTCCCCTTAATGAATTTGACCAAAGCAAGAACTACAGTTTTAGCAGAATAAAATGGTACTATCTTTTATTTCGTTGTCTTCTCATCAGCTGCTTACATGGAAAAGACATTATCAAATATATCTACAACAACAATTTTAACATACTTCCACAGATTTCATTTTAAACAAAAATCAATCGATCAATATACGTATACACTAAAAAATATACATATATAAATATCCAATATTAAACACTATTCCGAAAAATAATAATCATACACAATGAAAACTTTTAGCATTTCGCATTCGGATGAAAACGAAATGAAAAATATTCAATTACCAGGGCAGAGAAAGACTGATAACCACTTCTTTCTGGACGCATATATCAGGTTTCAGGCGCTTGATGGAAATGGCTTCAGCAAACTTAAGGAGAATTAAGCTCTTTTGCCTATTGATAATTCTGAACGACTTTTCGACGTCTACCTTATGACCCGTGTCGAGGAGATGCCTGGCGATGGCACTGTTTAAAGCATTTGTTCCCTTTAGACGTAAACTTTTCGGTACATGTTCAGAAAATCGTGGATATGCTCTTCTTTCTGTTCTTCCAATGTAACTGCTACCGCAGATACATGTAAATATATATATATATATATATGTATATACAGGAGTTAATTTGTAGGGGTTTGATTTATTTCACGAATTGGTAGAAGCTGAAATTCATGGGCCGATGAGTCAGACCCCATTAGCTGAATAGTCTGTTACCTTGCCCATCCAACCAGGAGGTCCTGGGTTTGAACCCCAGTGGGAGCTTACTGCTGATGAGTCTCAAGCCAGGACGTAACAGTGGTCTAATACTCCCTGGTTTTCAGTGGTTCTCTAACTCATATCAGTCCATGCTTAAAATTGAAACAAATTAAATCCCTACAAACTAAGTCTTGAAAATTAATCTGATGCACGTTAGAGGCTGGCTACAAAACGAAGTTAATGGTAATAATAAAATTAAAACAGTTAGTCCCTTTGATAAATTTGAATAAGGCATTTAGAAGACAAATTTCGCGAGATGATACCATCATTTCGTAGTTGCTTTACAACCACTTTACAACTAGCATGGTTCACAATAATAAAATAAAATAAAGTGCATGGCATTCACTCAGTTATATTAAACGAAAGCAAATAACAGTTACAAATTATATTTAAATATGCCAAGTAGTCAGTTCATAGTAGGCGAAGGTTGAAGTCGATTGTTTTGTTGTAGACATAGTTTAGGATGTATGAGATTAATCCAAAGTGCTTCCGTCACCTTTAATAACCAACCTTGAAATAGAGTTATGTGAATAACTGTGATTTAGTCATCAATATCCATTTTGTGACTTGAAATTAATAAGTGCTTTGCAATGGATGATGATGGATTTCTGTTCAGATTAATTGCATTTGGAATTTCTGTGTCTTAATAACCATTTTGGAATATGTTCTTTTCCTCTACATTGGAACATTCTATTGGTTTTAACTATATAAGTGTCACCGCAACTGCAGGTGAAATTTTAGATACAGTTTGAAGTAGAGTCCATAGAATTTCGTCATTTAATCGTAGGTACAGGAATCAAAAATCTTCTGAATGCGAGCAGAAGAGATGCAGGGTAGAATATGGGTTTGATGACTGACTGAAATCTTTGAGCTGCCAACTGCATAATTTGATGAGCCTTGAATGGTAGGTTAATAAAGACAGATTCCTTTGTTATAGAAGCTGCCTTTTCAAGATATGTTATATCATTACTGTGACAGTTAATAAAGTTTTCTGAATAGCCTTGATATAAGAATAAAACTTGTGCACTGTGGTCGAGTATAACTCCATAATGGACAAAATTTATTTTGATAAAGTCTCACAATGTTACACATTAATATTTACTGATGACCACGTTCCGAGCACAATTT